TGCTTCCTGAAATAAGCATGGTCCCGAAATATGCAATCATGGGACTTTCTAGACCTCTAAACATCCTATTACTGGGGTATAAACGCTTGGGTAACAACATTATAATCTATCTAATCACCAAATGGGTTTCATAAACCCTAGATTCGTGTACACATCAAAATAACAGAAATGGTCCGAGTATTACCTGAAACACACTCTCTGTGTCTCCAAACCTCAGGACTCGATCCTCCTTGATATTCCTTTGGCCACCACTCTTCTTCTTCTTGCCTAACAAATTCCTCAAAGTTCCAATAGCTTTCCCTCCTTCTCTAGACGTCCACAAACGATTAGGGTTCTTCTCAATCGGCCAAAAGACGAACAATGACGGCCTAAGAGGCGTTATATACGATCCAAACCAAACGGCTAGGGTTTCTGCTGAACAGCGTCGACTCGCCGAGTCCATATCTGGACTCGTCGAGTCCATTCGTGAACCCGCGACCAAGCCTGTGGTCCTACTCGGCGAGTCAGGCACCAACTCGCCGAGTCCCTTCCTAAAATGCCCCAAAAATAGTTTTAAAGCAATACCTGAACTTCCGGGCTGTTACAATAGCTACTGGTCACTCAATGTAGTTCAGGTTGTCATCCACTTGAATGTCCTCTAGTGGTACTATCGTTGAGTCGTCTACCAGACACTTCCTTAGCTGAGACACATGAAAGGTGTTGTGAATCTAGCTAAGTTCGGCTGGCAGATCCATCCTATACGCCACCTTGCCCACCCGGGATACAACCCTAAACGGCCCAATGTATCTTGGGTCCAACTTGCCATGCTTCCTGAACCGGATGACACCTATATAAGGTGACACCTTCAGGAGGACCATATCCCCGACCTGGAACTACATTTCCAAACGGCGCTTGTCGGTATAACTTTTCTACCGACTCTGATCAGTTGGGAGCCTGCTCCAGACCTGCTAGATCCTCTTTGTCATCTTAAGTACCACTTTGGTACTCCCCATGACCCTCTGTCCCACTCACCCTAGCATATTGTGGTCCTGCACTTCCTCTCGTATAACATCTCGAAGCGAGGATGATCAATACTCGCGTGGTAGCTATTATTATAGGAAAACTCTATCAAGGGAAGGTAGGTATCCTAGCTACCACCGAAGTCTAGAACACAATCCCACACCATATCCTCCAATTTATGAATGCTCCACTCACTCTGACCATCCGTCTGGGGTGAAAAGAAGTGCTAAAATGTAGGAGAGTACCCAACTCGTCGTGAAACTTCTTCCAAAATCTGGAAGTGAACCGCACATCTCTGTCAGAAATCATAGAGACTGACACTGTGTGTTGGGCTACTACCTCCCGAATGTAGATGTTAGCTAGCTTCTCGGCCGAAATTCTCTCCTGGATCGGTCTGAATTGGGCGTTCTTGGTCAACCAATCCACGATTACCCATATTGAAACCACTCCCCGTGCGGTCCTGGGAAGCTTCGAGATGAAATCCATAGTAATAAATTCCCATTTCCACATAGGGATATCCAATGGTTGCATCTTGTCATGAGGCTGCTGGTGCTCTACATCGACCTTCCTGCAGGCCAGGCACCTCTCGACGTACCAGGCTACATCCCACTTCATGCAGAGCCACCATTAATCAGGACGAGGATATTGGTACATCTTCGTCACCCCGAGATGAACAGAAAACCTGGATTTGTGGGCCTCATCCATCAAAATCTACTACACTGCGCCCTGGTACGGCACCCAGACTCTCCCGTGCAGGGTCAGCAATCCAAAGCTATCATAGTTAAACGAGGCCACTTGGTCTATGATCTGCTTGCATTTCCGGTGCTCCTCCTTCAAACCCTCGACCTATGCCTCTTGGATCTTCTCCAACAATGGAGTCACTACTATCATCCTCAAATAAATATCCCTTATCGGGGCTGCCTTGCGACTGAGTGCTTCGGCCATAATGTTGGCTTTCCCGGGTGATAAAGGATCTTACAATCGTAATCCTTTACCACATCTAGCCACCGATGTTGCCTGATGTTTAAATTCAGCTGATCCATGAGGTACCTCAAACTCTAGTGGTCCATGTAAATGGTACATTGGACTCCATCGAGGTAGTGTCACCAAAACATGAGGGCAAAGACAACCGCCCCCAACTCCAAATCACGTGTCGGGTAATTCGCCTCGTGATGCTTCAGCTGCCTCGAGGCGTAGGCAATGATATGCCCTCTCTGCGTCAATATTGTACCCAAGCCCGAAATGGATGCATCGCAATATACTACAAAATCCTCCACACCCTCTAGAAGGGCTAGAATTGGTGCCTTGCATAATCTCCACCTCAAAGTCTCAAATGTTGCCCGTTGCTCAGGCCCCCAGGGAAATACAATGGCGTTCTTTGTCAGTTGGTTCAAGGGCACGACTATCTTGGAGAAGTCCTGAATGAACCTCAAGTAATAGCCTGCCAATCCCAGGAAACTCTGAATCTTAGATGGAGACTTCGAAACCTCCCATCTCATCACGGCCTCCACTTTGGCCGAGTCGACCAAAATATCATTCTGGTTGACAACGTGGCCAAGAAACTGCACCTCGCGCAACCAGAACTCACACTTGGAGAACTTGGCATACAAGCTCTCCCTCCATAGGGTATCGAAAACCTCTCGCAGATGATCCTCATGCTGCTCCTACATCTTGGAGTAAACCAAGATGTCATTGATGAAAAATATCACAGACCAATCCAACATCGGCCTGTATATGCGGTTCATGAGGTCCATGAACGCGGTAGGAGCGTTGGTGAGCCGAAGATCATCACCACGAACTCGTAGTGGTAATCATAGAATCCAGGGTTAGGCATGTCAAATAACTGACATGCTCCCAGATATCAGCCCTTGATATGTCATGATAGCGGGTTTTCCGCATCTCCTCATCACTTGCATACTGGGGCACCAACAAGGCCCTCTCTCGGAACTTGGTGGTAATCTCCACCACTATCTCCATCATCTACCTCTTATCGAGGAACTCCTTAGCGAGCTATTGGAGCTCCACAGTTGGCGTGAAATCAACCCTAAACTGGGCCATAAATTCTGATCAAGTCATAGCCTCAATGGCTGAGGTTCCCAAGGAGTCACCAACCGACTCCCACCAATCTCTGGCTTTGTCTCTCAAACATCCAGCAGCATACCGCACCTTCGACCCCTCAAGGTAGAAGCTAATCAGCTGGGCAGATTCCATATTTGCAATCCATCTCTTGGCAACAATAGGGTCCTTCACCTCATGGAAGTCTAGTGCACCACATCCCTTGGAGTTCTTAAAGGACAATGTGCACGACCCTGACCGGCCGGATGCCATATCGCTCTTGAACGCCCTGAGGCGATCCTCCATCATCTCGATAATCCCTTCCTTGATCGAACCAATAATCACCAGGGTTGCCTCAAGGATGCCTCTCATGATCTCTGACATGATGAACTCACGTAGTCCATCATCAACCTGCTTGAATCCCGCACCCAAACCTGAACCTGAACCTGATCTTGATCCTGATCCAGACTTTGATCCTCCCACTCCATGTCGTGTCACCACCATTCTGAAACAAAACACCTAACCATCATAATTATACATAAACTTGAGAGGTCTTACCCACTCTACGAGTTTCCTAGTTCTATCTCGGCCCTCCTTGACTCGAGTAGGACTCCTATGCTTTCAGTATGATGGGCCCATACTACCTTCCACATCTATCCGTACTTTCCTCAAGGATTCCTTTGACATCAACAAGTCCATGCTACTACTACTGCACTCTTTGCTAATCTCATCCTAGGCTCGCTCTAGGGTAACTTTCTAACCCACTCTCTTCCATCAACTGCGTAAGAAGTTCCTGCCACCTTTATCTAACTAAATTGCGAATACCATTGCATATCACTAAGACCATATAATTATTCAAATGAGAGGTTCCGCCCTACAACGGTTGGACTCAAACAAGAGCTGCAAAATAGGGCTAAACCTAACCTTCTGAAATTATTCAGTCCTCGCAATATATAACATCATGTATTTGTTTATTAGTTAGCTAAAGATAGCTAGAACTCCTATTAGCATGAAGCAAGCAACATTCGGGCATTGAGTAACCCAAACCAAGCATATCCTATCCAAGCTATCATGGAATTCAACAAGCATATACAACAGGCATGGCAGGCATCTTCCTAGATTCTTAGCCCTATTCTAGCATGCAGTTCTCATAGACATACAGTAGGCATAAAAGGCATCCTTCCTAGATCCTTAGCCATATTCTAGCATGCAGTTCTCATAGACATACAATAGGAATAAAAGGCATCCTTCCTAGATCCTTAGCCGTAATCTGGCATGCAATTCTTATAATCATATCATAACATAACATAACTGGTATGGGTATCTTAGGGAAAACGTACTTGATCTTGGTTGGTTTCATGCATCACACATTGTCCTTTTCAAAGTTCCTTTCTTATTTTCAAGTTCTTTTCAAAATTCTTCTTTACAAAAATGATTTTCTTGGAAAATTCTCATACCAAGTCCTTAGTTTGAGTCCAGACACACCCGAGAGTATGCCCAAATCCCTCAAACCAAGGCTCTAATACCAACTTGTAACATCCCAAAAATCATAACCAAAAATTTTGTTTTTAATTATATTACTTGTAAAACTATTTAATGAAAGCACCGCCAATAACATAAAAATCCATAGCTCATAACTCAAAAGTCATAAAATGGAAATTCCCAAGACATCATAATACGGAAATTGTAAGCAAGAAGCTTAGTGAGTTCCCCCATCATACCACATACCATACATAACACATACTGCCAGGCATATCTGGGTGCCCGACCTACCCTGCTGAGCATACCGGGATGCTCAACCTACCCCTG